TTCCAGATTTTCAAATAGTTGTATCTCGGCCAAATATTGTCCGATCCTAATTTATTCAGGTTTCAGATGATGTATAAATCTCAATTTCAAATAATTGACCCTTATGACTGGTTTTGGATCTTTAATAAGCATTTTTGCCTATTTTGCAGTAAAAATATAAAGATAAATTTACTTGAAGCCAGAGTTATCTTTAGCATTGTTTATATACTATTTTATTAATTGTTTGTATTAGTTTATTTTTGTTTTCATTTCAATTTTAGTTTAAGTTTTAGTAATTTTGTTATATGCTTTTGTCATTTGTATTATTTTTTTCATATTTCCATTTTAGTAATTTTTAGTATTTATTTACGATTATAGTATTTATTAATATTTTAAATGGGCATTTATTTGTATATTTTCATTTTCATTTGAGTAATTTTGTTATGTGGTTTTTTCATTTTTATAAAATGTCCATATAGCTTTCATTTTTTTTTTATTTTTTTTAGGTTTAGTGATTTTATTACTTCAACTTACATTTATTTCAAATGTGTAAGCTTTTCAACTTTATTTCAGTTATCATAAATAATTTTTAATAGTTTTAATTTTAATAATAGTTTTAATATTTTATTTTAATTTAATGACAATGCTTGAAGCAACATGTACAGTATAAATTTTATTTATTTATTTATTTTATTTGTTTATTTTTCCTGCTTAATTAGCAAGTTTTTATCAGTATTTTAATATTTCAATATAGCTTTAATTTTAGTACTTCAACCTATACTTATTTATTTCAGATCTTCAGGTTTTTCATGCAATATTTATACATTTTGCAAAATTGCATAAAATTTATTTTTCCTACTTAATTAGCAAATATTTTGTCATTTTTAGCAGTTTTTTAATACTTCCATATAGCTTTCATTTTTTTCAGTTTTAGTAATTTTAGTATTTATATACTAATATAGTATTTAATAATGTTTTGAATTAGCCTTTATTTTTCTATTTAAATTTTTATTTTAGCTTAAGCTTTAGTAATTTTAATATTTGCTTTTGTCAATTTTATTTATTTTTATATTTCCAAATAGCTTTAATTTTAGTACTTTAACCGATACCTTTTCAGGTTTTTCATGCAATATTTATATTTTTATTGTATTGCATCTTCTTTAAATAATTGTAAATGATTTTAATCATTTTAATTTTAATAATAGTTTAAAGGTTTTTATATTTTCATTATAGTTTTATAATATAATAATCATTAAAATTTTTGCTTGAAACAAAACTGTAAAAACGTGTTAGTTGCATAAAGTTCCCGGCTCGTGTTTGGAGTCCCTGTGGTTTATCAGGTCATGTTTATTCGTGATGCGGGCTGCTGATTGGCTCATTTAACGCTAACGAGATTGTCTCTCCTTGGCGGTGAGCTGGAGTGTGGCTTCTTAATTGAGAGCGGCCGTTGAGTCACGCTCCATATCGAGAAGCTCGTCAGCTCACAGAGCCTAATTACTTATTATCTTCATCAGAACACACGGGGAAAAGAAAAGCAGTGTCTTCTATTGTGCTCGTTAGCCGCTGGGAGACAGGTGATGCTTATCTTTTTGTGAGTGGATCGGTTGAATCATGTTTAGCTTTATCTGACTCTTCGTTAGAGTCTAGAACTAAACGATTAGCATGTTCTCTTCCGTTAGCAGTTCTTCAGTCGAAAAGTAGAATCTGAACCAGAATCGTTGATTGGTTAGAATAATTCCTTCTTAAAAAATGCTTAGAACTTTTAATTACTCTTTAACTTTTAAATTGCATTCTAAATTGCCTTAAAATTAATGATATGCTGAGTCAAAGTTAGTTCATAACTTTTTAAAATGTATTGTGCTATTGAAAGCAAAAATACAAAAATGTTTATATATATATATATATATATATA